ATTAAAACAATTTTTAAAGTACATGATTTTAAGGTTAATAAAACCCATTTTTAGTAGAGAAGGTATTAGCTAAACTTGAGCATCCACTTAGGAAAAAAACGGGGCAAACTTAACGATCTTGAACATCTTAACTTTAAAAACATTTGCTTATTATTTCAATGCCTGAATTATGGCCAGCATATCTATATCAAAAGTTATCCTGTTAGAGTTGAAAATTACATATATACTTAGTCTTTTTTGAGATGATTAATCAATAAGGAATCTTCTAATTTATCGTTGGCTCTTAAAACATTGAATTAAGCTAATTTTGCATGATTCTACTCAAAAAATTTATCATAGGATTACTTCATCTAACTCACAGAATCATCTTCTTAAAGCATTATGAAAGTCTTAAATGGTTTTTAAATATTGTTACTTAGTAAATTTCGTTTATATAGCCAGTCAAGTGTTGGTATTCTTGAAGCTATCTGAATTTAACGATTATACTAATTGAGCTAAAAGTCATATTTTTCATTTCTAAAAATATCTAGCATTTCAAATGGAAAGTTTCCACTATTGGGATCTACAAGTAAGAATATTTGCTCTGTCTCAAAGTTTTTTAGATTTTAAACTTTAATTTCCATCTCTAGCAGATTAAGATTTTGATGGACTATTTTTACTAATTTCATATGCATGAGTAAATCACTGCCCTCAAAATGAGTTTCAATAAACTTTATCAATAAGAGATGACGTTTTTAGTCAGTAATACAGTCTATTGATGAGTTGAACAAATTTGTCCAATCAAGATGCAAATTGAGAGAACCTTCTTATAGAGACTTAGATTGATCCAATTCTTCCTTTTAGAACTTGAATCCTTTGATAATAGATATTAGTAATCTTTCTATAGCATATTAAAGATTATCTGTAAGGTCAATTCCATTATTCAAAGCTCCTTATATGTCAATATGAATTCTATTAGCAAATCTGACTATTATATCTTATATTTCTTTGTCCTTAAAATCACCAAAGAATAACAGTTAATTGGTTCCTATTACTTTGTAGTTTACAATATCAAAGCAAGTTTTCATTCGTTTATTTATGTCAGCTTTCATTGATATGAGCTATTTCTTTGTACTCGAATACTAGCTTCTATTCTTATTCTATTATATTTTTTCTAACGCCTCTAATTTTAAAGTCACAAAGTTTAACTCACATAGTAGATTATCTATCCTTTAAAGTAACTTTGACATTTAATACTCTTATTCTGGTAACTTGAAGATTAAACTCCTATCTTTATCGATTATAATTATTTCTACAATGTGTTTCTTCAAAGTTATTTTAATAGGATCCAAACTACTTTTCCTTTACCCTTCTGGCTTCGACTCTACATTTTAGTTATACTGATACTTATTGAAGTTAATCTATACTATCTTTGAATTATTTTGGTTTCTTAGATTTTAATAATGATGACTGTGTTTATTTACTTCTGCTATATGTTCTTCAAGATTAATTATAATATCAAATTCATTATTTCCATCCTCTTAGGCTCTTTATATTTAGCTTTATTCATCTGTAGAGAGTACTGAAGAATTTTTCATTGATTCGTTAGAATGTGATAATTACTCACTCATTTACTCATCTTACTGTAATAAATTCTAATCTTTAATGTTCTAAATAGTTTGATTCAACTAACTCTTCCTGATTTTTTTATTTACTTGAGTTTTCTACTACTATTTAATATTGTACTTTCCATAGTAATTCTGCTAAAGCTTGAAGTGCTCAAATTAAAGATCAAATATAGGCCAATTCTTATGCAAGTTAAGCAAAGCCCAGTTTTCGAAAGCTATCAATTAATCTAAATCCAAAAGGTATGATCTTATGTTAATTTCTTCTATTAAATCTCTAAAATGGTAATAAGTTTAACGATGAGGAAGAAGATCGTGATAATTTGTGATTATTTCATTAAGTTAGCAAATCACTTCTTTATGTTGCTAGTTTGTTTTATTCATATCGTTTAGGCTTGCAATATAGAATTTGGTAAGAGCATACTTATTAACATAATCCTGTTAATCACTAAGTAAAAACTTTAAATTTTTTAGAGTTTGAAGATTTTTCTAGTCCTTTTTAGTAAGGATATATCTGGAATATTGAAAAATGAATATCTTGTGAGTTTATGAATCCTCTTCCTTATTAAAATCTAATACTCCATATTTAAGAATTTTCCTAAGTATGAACTTCTCTAGTAGTGGCATCTTAAATTTATCCTTCATTACTTTTTCATCTAAGAACGCTTTTTGATTATCAAATATTGTCATAAAGTTAGTGACCTGTTTAACATTTTTGAATAGTATTAGTAAATTTACTAGTGGTGCGAAGTTATCATACATTTTTGCATAGCCTAAGTAGAGACTTTTCAATAAGTTATCATTGCAAGATACTCCAGTTTGTTTAGATTTTGAGGCTTAAGATATTAATTCAAGCCAAATCTTAGATTAGTCACACATATAGATTCTAATTTGGTTATAAATTCTATCTCGTTCTTAGGGCATTTTGTTTTGAAGTTATGGGTATCCGTTAATTACTTTCAGTTCAATTTCATTAAAATATTTTGTTTCTACCTGTAATAAGTATTGGCTGATTATATTCAAAGATTATAAACAATTCCCTGTTATCCTATATATCTTTAGTCTTAACAAAAATCCTGGACTATCTAATTCTTAGAAAAAACCAAATATCTATAAAAGTCTTTTAGATGTGGCTAATGTTTGTTGAATAACACTGATGAATTTTAGAAAGCTAGATTATCTCTATCTCATTATTAGTCTATTCTACAACCTTAGTGAGTCATCTTCAGGTATGATAGTATCCTTTTATGTATCTGATGAAGGATTAAGAAATCGATAAACTTTTTAGAATGATATTTCATATGTGCTCTACCTATCAGTGAAGCTATAGATCAATGATTCAGCTAGATGATTGCACCGTTTTATTTCAAAGTAACTTAACTGATAGTGTCCTAATTTAAATAGCACCTTGGCATTAAGTTGCAATAGTTCTAACTTTCTTTGTTAAGTATTAAACTATTATTTTTCTTCTTATTTCTATATTGCTATTAATGCTTCTTTGATATTTGAAAGAGCTTCTTTGTATTCTTGACAATAATAGTTTGCGTAGATATTTCCAACTTTAAAGATTAAAAGCATTTTGTTATCTACTACTAAATTACCTGATTCAATTAGATTTTTATATAGGAAAATAGTTCTTTGGCAAGCTTCGATTTGATTTATTACTAGATCAGCATCTGTAATTTAAAACATTCTTAAAAACATCATTATTTAAATCCAGAACAGGAGCTAAATCATAATGTTTTCGTGAACACTTTAAGGTTAAGTAAGTTCATTTTTATTACATATGGTAATTAATAATCCTAATATACTTAAATCTAACCCTAGATATTAGAATTAATAGTAGTAGCAAGTATTCTAAGTCAATGCTAATAGTTAGTCTATTATAATCATGGATTATAGCTGATTTTATTTCAAATAATCTTAAATCTTAATGAACTAAGGCAGCTTTTAAAGTTACTCAGTATGAAAATTCTTAAGATTCCTCAATGTTTACAAATCTGAATAATTTAAGCCAAATATCCTAAGATATCTCTTTAGTATTTTACTAACCTAATTCTTCATATATTAATATATTGTCTAGTCAGAGTATAATGATTCAAGCGTATCTTTAACTAGATATTTGACTTAGAGATCCTTTTGCAAAGATTTTAACCACTTTTCTTTTGTTTCATTTGTTTAATTATAGTAATCTATCTATAATACATCCTTCTCTTCGATAAGCTCTTCAATCGTAAAACTTTTAGATTTACTATCTCGATCTCTAATTTCTTGATCTATTTCTTATTAATATGTCTCATCTGATGACTTTCTATTAAGTTGGTACCTTTAAAGGGTGTCAATAATTAGCAAACTAATTTCAATCATTTCATAGGTATCATGAGTATATTATTTGAGGATATCTAAACAGTTTAGCTAATTATTATTTAACCTTAGCTTTTAAATGCTTGAAGGGGATTAACATTTATCGTTTTTTTGCTGTACATTAACTAATTAAAATACCTGTATCGCTTGCCTCTAAAATTATTTGAAAAGCAATTCTTCATCTTTTTCAATCAATTAATTGAAATAATGAAGCATGATGAAGATAATCTTATTTTTTAGAAGAACTTTTTCTTAAAATTTGTTTTGATTAAAAATCTATAATGTTTTATTAAGATCATTCTACTGCATAAGATATCCAAGTATAAAATTCAATTAAATTTCTGATGAGTCATTTTTACTATGCTGAATAAGCAGCAGTTTCTATTCATAATCTTCATTAATAACAGATGAAATTGCTCCAATATACTAATAAAGATATGGCTACAAAAATAATGTACCTTTCAATTATTGATTAGGTTTTGTGCAAATATTGATAACTCTTTTGAGTATTTTAACATAATCTTGATCTTTTTACATTTTAAATTCATCAAAATAACTGAGATATCTCAATATTTCTTGATATATGCTCTTATTTTTTAAGATTTCTCTTATTCTAGTTTAAAAATCAGCCATTTATTCTATTAAAAATAGCAGTAATTTTGCACTCATCTTTATTAATTGAACAAGTCTAAATAAATCTCTATCGTTTGGGGTTGCAATATTATTAAGCTGATTTTAATCTTTATGTTTTAGTTAATAAAGATTATTATAAAATTAGTGAATACTCTTATTAATCTACCATCTAAATTAGTTTATGGATTCTGCTAGTGTATTTATAAACTTGTCTTCTAATTGATTATTTTGAGGCTTAAAATTATTCATAAGAGTTTCTAGTCTTTTAAATAAGTAAGTTTCCTCTTACGTTTTTGAAATTATTTGGAGAGCAATTTAAGGTTTTTCCAAAGTCTTGATAATTAGAAATGAATTTAGTTGAATGAATGTCCTCAAAAATATGAATTCTAAAAAGCTGTTATTTTCAAAGTAATATTATTTCAATAATTCTAAAACTTCTATAATCTAGTCTCTTGAGATATCAATGATAAATTTTTGGTAATTTTAAAAAAATCTAGTCATAAGGAAATCAATAATCAAAATTTCATCGTCAAAATATATCTTATTATCCTAATTATTATTCTATTTCAGATGCTTTCTAACCATAATATCTATCATTACTTACATTATAGCTCTGCTTTTAGCCTAAAACATGTTTTTATTTAATTCAATTTTATTCGGTACATCTAAATTCATCAATATTTAAATAGACTCTTTAAGGTTAACTTTATCATCAAAATTTCCTATTGAAGGGAAGTATATAGTAATTTCTTCAGTCATATAATTATTAAGTTTTTTCCAGAAGGCATTATAAATCAAGCTATATTCTTAAATCATTTAGTATACAATGTTGAAAAAGAGTATTTAGTACTTGATTTAATTAAAGTTCTCCCTTTATTAATTATTTCTATTATCCTTAATTATCTGAAAGAAGCCTGTGAAAGCATCCTCTAATTTTTTTATGTTATCTAGATGGATTTCATCAAAATATTTTTATTTAACTAAATAGATTGTATTTAGTAAAAGCCAATCTAATCTTTATTCAAGTTAATCAACTTTTTCAGAAATAATATCTGCATAATTGAAATAAAGGTATGCCAAGGTTTAGAGATATTCAAGCTTTTCTACTAATTTATTACTATTTTACTCAAGGAAATATGAAATGCACTTATGTAGTAATTAGATTCTAATATCTCTATGTTATGCCCTCTAAGTATTCTAATTTTTATCTCTTTGCTAATAAAGACTTTATTTTAGGAACAATGAAGATTTTTAGATAAAATGATTCTTTAAGTTTTAATCTATAATTCATTCTTTCTAATATTTTTTCTCTTAATAATCTGCAACAAAATGAATTATTTGTAAAAGCTGATAGAATTCTATGCTTGATTGCTAAATTGCATCTATTTCATCAAATTATTAAACAATATCTTCAAGATTGTATTGGCAACTTTGGCAATTCAATAATCTTTCAAAATAGTCAAATTGACTTGGAGTACTTTATTTCAATTCTTTCGAGTACTAATAAAGGATCAATAATGCATCTAGATGGTATAGACTTGAATCATAATCTTATGTACTCTCATTGCATCTTATTTTTTTTAAATTAAAATTCAATCTTCTAATATTGGCTTCTAAATCTTTTGTAAATTGTTAATTAGTCAACTTCAAGCTTTATTTTTGGCAGATTACTGTGACAAGATTTAGGTATATTAATAATCTATTTCTTAAGTTACAAAGCTCTATGCTTGTGTTTTCAATTCCCATTAGAAAATTATATACTTTACTAAGTATTGACTATTACTTAAAATAAATTTCAGCATTTTTCTTGCTTAGCTTTCTTTCATCTGCAAGCACAAGTTATTTTACAGGTTAAATGTCAATCTCTAATTTCACTAGATTTTACAATATTTTATTTAGAATATCTCAACCTGATGCACTTTTAAAATTAAGTTAGCTCACCAAAAACTAAATTTCCATGGCTAAATCATTTTGATATGTCCTCCCGCTAAAATTTTGCTAAATCTAATCCATTTTTGATATTTAAAAACTTATATTTAATTTTTTAAAATAGTAAACTATTGCTGTTAAAAGAATTCTAACTGTTGGGGTTTTGGGGTTTTGGGGAGATCGGAAGAGCACAC